GATTCAAAGTCCAAAACTATCATTTCAGGCGTCTAAATAAAGAGAAGAATGTGGGACTGGAGATATGGCTCAGCAGTTAAGAGCACTGACTGCTCTTGCAGAGGACCCACATGACAGCTAACGATGGTCAGTTCTAGGAGAGCAAAAGTCTTCTGGCCTCTGAAGGCATTGCAGTAATGGGTGTACTTAGTACACCCAGACAAAATACCCATATGCGTAAAACAAAAGTAAAGAACACCCCGCTTAGTAAGAAAAGAGTTTGTATATATTTATATAAACAGATTAAAGCTTCTTCATCCAGTAAAATAACCCCTAATCCTACATGACTATTGACATTTAAATTAATATAAACAATAACTCAGTGTCTCCATAGAACCAGCCACATTTCAAGTGGTTAATAGCCATTTGGGTTAGTGGTGGTTGCTCTATTGGACAGCACAAATACAGAGTGTTTTCATCTTTGCAGAAAGTGGGGTTCAGGAAACATTATCCTGAAATATGGCCACTTAGCAGATTGAGTATTTAAGGTGAAAAAAGTTGAGAAACCCACAGAAGCCCCAAAGTCCCTTCCTTGTCCTGCCGCCTCTTTCCTGAGTTGCCCTCTCCCTCCTCTACTCCCCTGAAGTGGGCCAAAAAATGAAAATTTCCTTTGCTCTTCTCCCCTGAAGCAGGCCACAAGACTTAAGAAAGTCATTCTTTGACCTTGTCACCTAAAGACCATCATGTGACAGGTGTCCTTCCCTGTTCTCAGAAGGAAGGATTGTCACACAGGATACAAAGAAGGAATTGAGCAAACAGGCCATGCTAAGTTTCCCCAGTTTCTTACTGCTATATCACGTGCCACCTTGTCTTCCAGTTGTACCTCTGCATATGCCTATCCATACAAATACACAGACTTCCCCATTTCTTTAGTTTCACTTAGTTTGGTTTTGTAGTGGGGCTGGACCTCGACTGAGTGCATGCTAGGTAAGTGCTTTACCACTGAACCATACCCTCAACCCCAAGACTTCATTTTTTTTTAACTTTTATCAAAATTATGAGCTTTAGGGCTGGAGAGCTGGTGCAGCCATTAAAGACTCAGGCTCACAACCCAAAACACAGAAGTATGGGCTTAATTACAGCATTCTTCATGAATATTTTTTCTTATTGGCCCTCCTCCTCTTCTTGCCCCCTTTTCCCTGCCTACCCTTCTCCTGGTCCATTCCTACCTTCCAATAACTATTTCCCCTTCTGCTTCCATATCACCTGTGGCTAGTTACACATCTTGGATATTGCGAATAGTACAACAATAAATATGGATGTGCAATGTCTCTATAGTAGGCTAATTTACTTAAGAGTCTTTTGTCCTTGGGGTAAATACCCAGGAGTGGTTAGCTGAATCATATGGTAGTTCTATTTTTAGTAGGTTTTTTTAACCTCTACACCGATTTCCATAAAGATTAAACCAATTTACACCCCTACAGGCAGTGAATAAAGGTTCTTCTCCACGTCACACCCTTCTCTTTATTTCTGAAGAGTCCTGTGCCATGTTAAAACTTAAGTAAATCTATGTGTGCATGTGCATGTGTGTGTGTGTATGTGTGTGTGTGTGTGTGTGTGTGTGTGTGTGTGTTTAGGTTCGAGGATAGCCTCAGGTGTTGTTCCTCAGGAGTGTTCTGCCCTTTTTTTGAGACATGGTCTCTCATTGGCTTGAAACTGGACAAGTAGACTAGGCTGGCTCTCCAGCAAGCCCTGGGGATTCTTCTGTATCCTCTTCCCTATTGTGCCCAGCGTTTGAAATGTGGGTTCTGGGACTGAACTAAGATCTTTATTCTTGCATATGAAGCACTTTAAGGGTGGAGCTATCTCCACAGTCTCAATTTTCATGTTTTTATTAATCTCTCTTTTGTCATAAGGAATCTCAGCCATGAACCTTACAATAGATAAAGAAAAGATGATAATTTTCTCATCACTGGCACCGAAGCTCCCCTTCTCCTTTTCTGCAACAAATCCTTTTATTTCTGTTCTGAATATAAAACAATACAATATTGTAAAAATTTCAAAAGAAAGCTGAGTGTAGAAAATGGGAAATATAAATCGTTCCCTCCACTTTGCTCTTTAACAAGTAAATCTGATGCCCACAAAACCCCAAACAAAACAAAACAAAAAACCCTTTCAGCTTGAGAGTAGGGTTTTATCTTTTTCATCATCATAATAAAAGCTACCATTCAACAAATACATGTTTACTCATTCTGTGGCCACATTGGTGTGTCTCCCGTGAATGTGGCACTGGACTGGGACTCAGGTCCTCTGAAACAGCAGCCTTGTTCTTTACCTGGGTGGGGGGGGCGATCTTGAAGACCTGGAAGAAGACAGACCACAGGGCAATGCCCATGGAGAATACTTCAATGCCTATGCTGTGATGGGAGTTGAGGGAGTATGTCTCAACCTGGGAAGGTTCAAGGTCAGCCCTGATCTGCAACCACCACATTGGTCTCTCTTCTAGGCCCTTGTTCCACTGTTAGTCACCTGCTATTGGCAGAATGGACCCTCTAGGGTAGCAGTGAAAGGAAAGGAATGCTCACGTTTTTCATTGCTGTCATTTTTGGGTTTTTTTTTGAGACCAAGTCTCATGTAGCTCAGGTTAGCCTCGAACTTGCTTTGTAGCTAAGGTTGCCCTTGAACTCTTTAAATTTATTTAATTAAAAATATTTTTTATGTCTATGAACATATTGCCTGCATGTATTGTTAGTGCACC